CAGCAGATCCATCCGACTCGACGTTTGCTGCTGCTGCAGCAACAGCAGCAGACGCCACCACATGCGTGTGGGGCGGCTGCTGCAGCAGCTGCAGCAGCACCTGGGTGTCTGCTTCCTCCCATGCTGCTGCAGTGTGCTGCAGCAGCTGCTCTGCATGCGCTGCTTCGGGAAGCAGCAGCATACCCTGCCGCTGCTGCTGCTGCCCCCTGCTGGCAGCAGCAGCAGCAGCAGCACGATCCTCTGCAAGGGGATGCAGTATCTCTGCCCATGCAGCAACAACAGACAAGCAGCAACGCATGCACTTTGCTGCAACAGAGCGCAACTGCTGCTGCTGCTTCTGCTGTTGCTGCTGCTGCTGCTCACCTGCAGCAACAGCAGCAGCGGGAGCCAGCAGCAGCGGCAGCTGCAGCAGCACCTCGTGTACATGCGAGCGGATGCTGCTAAGTGCAGCAAAACCACGAGTGCATGCAGCTGCACCCCCTATATATTCCTGCAGCAGCAACAGCAACAGCAGCAGCAGCAGCAGCAGCAGCAAAGGGTCACGACAGTTAAGGAACTGCCTACACGAGGGTCTAGGGTTTAGGCAGTAATGTCAACGTCCGAGGGTTTAGGGTTCTAAGGGTTTAGGGTTTTAAGGGTTTAGGGTTTAGGGTTTAGAGGGACTCACTGTTACTGCAGCAGTCCCTCTGCTGCTGAGGCTGCCAGCAGCAGCAAGTGTTTGCTGCAGCAGCGTAGCCCCACATGACTGCAGCAGCTCATATGCTGCTGCTACAACACTCAGCTGCTCACTGCTGCTGCTGCTGCTGCTGCTGCTGCTTTGCCAGACGCTGCTGTGCATGCTAAGGATTTGCGCAATAGGAGCAGCACAAACAGGTGCTGCTGCTGGCTGCTGCTGCAGCAGCCGCTGCATGAATCGTAGCTGCAGCAGCTGCAGCTCGCGGGCAAGCGGCAGCATCTGCTGCTGCACCGTGTTCTGCTGCTGCTGCTGCTGTTGTTGTGCTTGGCCCTGCTGTTGCCGCTGCTGCTGTTGCTGCTGCTGCAGCAGCTGCGTCTCTGCTGTGTGCAGCAGCAGCATCTGCGGCAAGAATTCATTGACGTAGCTGCTGCATGCAGCAGCAACTTTCTCTGCAGCAGAAGCCCAGAGTGCATGCGTCAGCAGCACTTTGCATCTTTGCTGCTGCTGCAGCAGCAGCAGCAGCAAATCAGCTACATCCTGTAGCCCCTTAAATGACCATTTAAATGCCTCAATGCTGCTGCTGCTGTTCTTCCCTTTTGCTGCTGCTGCTATTGCTGCTGCTAGCTGCAGGAAGCTGCTTCTCCCTATCTGCATGTCCTCATGGGTTGGGTAAGACAGCTGGGCGCTGCTGCGCCCAGGAGCAGATCCTCTCATTGCTGCTGCTGCTGTTGCTGCAGCAGCAGCTGCTGCTGCTGTTGCTGCTACTGTTGCTGCTACTGTTGCTGCTAGCAAGGATATTGATGATTTCTCTGGCTGCTGCCAACTTGCTGCTGCTGCTGCTGCTGCTGCTGCCGCACGAAGGATTCAGCGGATATATGTCTATAACAGGAGCACTAGACAAGGCGTGCTGCTGTTGCTGCTGTTGCTGCTGCTGCTGCTGCAGTTGCTGTTGCAGTCACTGTCGTTGCTATACTGCCGCTGCAGCAGTATAGGGATTACTAAGGGGAAGGAAGTGTTGGTGCCTCCTAGGCAGCCTCACCCGCCTGTGTTGCTGCTGCTGGTGTTACAGCAGCAGCAGCAGCAACAGCAGCAGGTAATACTACTACTACTGCTGCTGCTGCAACAGCTGCAGCTGGGCCTGCTGCTGCTGCGGCTGCTGCAGCTGCGCGGGTGTACATCTCTATTAGCTAAGCCCTTATAGGCTGTTGCGCCTAAAGGCGTAAATTTAATTTTATTTTATTATACAGCAAAGAACAACTTGCTGCTGCTGCTGCTGCATGCAGCAGCAGCAGCCCAGCAGCAGCTCGTGCTGCAGCCCCAGAAAGCTGCATGCACACAAGCGTATTTACTTGTTAATTTTATTTAATATTTTTATTTGTTTAATTTAATTCATTAATTATAATTAGCAATAAAAATATAAAATATTTACTTGTTCTGCCCTGCATGCAGCACAAAGCCCCAATTTCTCCTTTTGTTGCAGTACTTGCATGCGCTATATAATACAAATGTCTTTATTTAAATAATTAAATTTATTTTATTTTATATTTAATTCTTTTACTATTTAAGGGAGAGCATAAAAGGTTAACCCTAAACCCTAAACCCTAAACCCTAAACCCTTATTGGCTATTGCAGATAGGTGTAGGAGCACAAGGAAGCAGTTAACACAGACTCGAGGACGTGAGGGTTTAGGGTTTAGGGTTTAGGGTTTGGTCTCGAGGGTCTAGAGTCTACACTGCACCAGAAACCCTTAACACTCTCGTTGTCTGCCTAGCAGCAGCAGCTGCTGCTGCTCTTGAGAACTATTGCTGCTGCTGTGCATACACCGCACCTTTATACCTACCTAAACCTTGCTTTTGTCCCATATAACCTGCTGCTGCTGCTGCTGCTGCAGCAACAGCTCCTGCAGCAACAGCAGCAGGAGTCCTGTACTACTTGTAGGTAGTCTATGATCTAACGGGGACGGTAGTGTGTATGATCGTCACCATCAAGAACTAGGGTTTAGGGTTTAGGGTTTGTGGTTTAGGGTTTAGGGTTTACATATCTATCTGTATGGATACGTTACTGCTATAGAAAGAAGACAAAAACCCTCACATAATGAATTAGGGTTTAGGGTTTAGGGTTTAGGCATTGGTTCAATAGGAAGGGTTAAGGTTCTAGGAGGTCCTAGCGCTGCGTTAATATGGTGCTGCAGCAGCAGCAGCTGCTGCAGCAGCAACAAGTGTTTCTGCAGCAGCAGCAGCAGCTGCTGCAGCAGCAACAAGTGTTTCTGCAGCAGCAGCAGCAGCAGCATTTGCAGCAACATCTGCTGCAGCAGTCTCTACAAAGAACAGCATTTGCTGCAGCAGCAACTGCAGCAGCAACTGCATCATCTGCCTCATCTACAGCAGCACCAACTACATCATCATGTCCCCCATCTCCTGCTGCTGTTACTGCAGCACTAGCAGCAGCAGCAGCAGCAGCATCAACTGCTGCTGCTGCTGCTGCTGCAGGATGTCTACAACAACTACATGTATTAGTTGCTCATTTATGAACATAAGGCGCATCTGTTCCTTTTGCTGCTGCTGCTGCTGCAGTAGCAGCAGCAGCAGCAAGAACAACAACAACACCACCACCAGCACCATCAGCAGCACCAGCACGAGCAGCATCACGAGCAGCAGCAGCAGCACCAGCAGCAGCAGGAGCAGGAGCAGGAGCAGGAGTAGACTAGAAAGGTACATCAATAGCAAAAGAATGTCCACAAGTACATGTATGTGTTGCCTTATTATTATTATAAATAATAAAAGAAGAAGAAAAAGGAGAATATTTATATATTATACAACTTTCTTCCCCTAATAAATGTATTCCTTTTGCATTTATACACACAAACCAATCTATTTCCTTAATACTATTCCTCCTCCTCCTGCTATTGCTCCTACTGCTGTTGCTGCTGATAGGTGTGCTGCTGCTGCTGCTGCTGCTGCTGCTGCTGAAAGGGATGCTGCTGCTGTTCATGGCGGTGCCGCTAGCGGTAGGGGAGTTCGTGGTGCTGCTGTTGCTGGGGGAGGTGGGGTTTCTGCTTTTGCTGCTGCTGCTGCTGTTACTGTTACTGCTGCTGCTGCTGCTGCTGCTGTTGCTGTTGTTGCTGCTGCTGTTGCCCTTGGCGTCACCATCCGGGTACCAACGGAAAATCCTGCAGCAAAAAAAAGAAAAAACCCTAAACCCTAAACCTTAAACCCTAAACAGTAAACAGTAAACCCTAAACCCTAAACCCTAAACCCTCGATATACACACAATTGGTTAAACACGAGCATTTGCTGTTGTCTAGTGTTCCTATAAACCTCTATCCATGTAATTAGTGTTGGCCTAGGGTTTAGGGTTTAGGGTTTAGGGTTTAGGGTTTAGGGTTTAGGGTTTACAGGTCTCCGTCACGTTTTGCTTCCTCTAAGGTAACAACAGCAAAAGAATATTTATATCCGCTGCATCCTCCTCCTGATACTTCTATCCTTAACCCTAGACTATCTGCTGCTGCTGCTGCTGCTGCTGCTGCTGCTGCTGCTGCTTCATCATTACCAGCAGCAGCAGCAGCAGCAGCAGCAGCAGCTTTACGCCGCTGCGCTACGTGCTGCAGTCGCGCTATAACAGAGGGAGCAGCAAATAGATGACGATTTGGCTGCTCGCTGCAGCGCAGCGGCAGCAACTCCGTGTCTCCTGCTGCTGCTGCTTCTCCAACTCCTGCTGCTGCTGCTGCTGCTGTTGTTGCCGCTGCTGCTGCTGCTGCTGCTGCCTGGTCGTCACCAAAAGAAACCTCAATAGGTCGAGGTCGTCCAACACCAGCAGCAAAGTGACGTCTATATACACCCGAGTAGCTGCTGCTGCTGCTGCAGGCGCTGCTGTGCTGCAGCAGAAGCCGCTCGAACCTTAGACTGCTGCTGCGTCCTTTGAGAGCAGCAGCGCATGCAGCAGCAGCAACAGATGTCCTGCTGCTGCTGCTGCTCACTGCAATGTGCGCGAGGCTTACGGGCACACCTGCGGATACAGGTGATGTATAACTAAGCCCATCTGCTGCTGCTGCTGCTGCAGATGCTGCAGCAGCAGCTGCTGCTGCCGCCGTTGCTGCTGTTACTGCAGCAGCAGGAGCAGCAGCTGCTGCTGCAGCCTTCCACCCCGCAGCAGCCCTTAGCAAAGACATAAGAAGAGAGACAGATATAGCAGCAGCTCAAAGAGCAGCAGAAGGAGGAGAAGTTGCTGCTGTTGCTGCAGTAACTTGCTGCTATGCTGCAGCTACGGTAGCAGCAGCAGCTGTCGTCACCGCAGATACTGCTGCTGCTGATGCTGCTGCTGCTGCTGCTGCTGCAGGAAAAGAATTACTTAATGACACAAACAAGAAAAATAATAAAATATTTTTATTGCTGCTGTAATGACGTCTAGCAGTTTTTCTCTCTAAGCGCTGCAGCGACTGCTCTTGCTGCGGCTGCTGCTGCTCGTGCATGCAGCAGCAGCTGCCGCAGCAGCAGCAGCAGCGGCTGCTGTTGCTCCCATTGTCCCACACGTATAAGCCTCGATATAACGTTGCTAAATAAGAAAAGTTATAAGCAGCAGCAGCAAGGTTTTCTTATACCTCCTATTAATAATAGCTATTGCTGCTGCAGCAAGAGGACCAGTGTTTAGCAGCAGCAGCAGCAGCAGCAGCAGTAGCAGCTGCAGCAGCTGCTGCAGCAACTGTACCAGCGGACTTGGGGCCTCAGCCTTCTGCGAGGAACAGCCGCTGTCTTCGTTGATTGCTGCGCTGCTGTATAACGACATCACCGCAGCAGCAGCAACAATAACTGCGGCAGCAGCAGCAGCAGCAGCAGCAGCAGCAAGAGCAGCAGCAGCTGCAGCAGCAGCAGCAATCTTCCGTATTTTCTTTAACAGCAAATGCCGACAGAAGAGAAGTCTTCATCGGGGCCTCCTCCTAGTGAGGCCCCCCAAAGTGCAACAGCAACAGCAGCAACAGCAGCAGCAGCAGCAGCAACAGCAACAGCAGCAGCAGCAGCAGCAGCAGAAAAACCGCAGCAGCAGCAGCAGCAGCAGCAGCAGCAGCAGGGAAAAGGCCGCAAAGTTCGGTTCCAAAAGAATGACCCAAATACATTTACATTTAAGTTGCTGCCTGCATCGCAGCAGGAGCTGCGGCAGCATGCAGCAGCAGCAGCAGCAGCAGCAGCAAGCCGCAAACCACGCCTCCAGCTGCAACGAGTTATACCACCTAATGCAAGAAATAAGGTAAGCTGATACACCTGCTGCTGCTGCTGCTGCACCGTTTGCTGCTGCTGCTTCTGCTGCTGTTGCACATCTTGCTGCTGCTGCTGGTGCTGCTGCTGTTCGTTTTGCTGCTGCAGGGTAACTGGCGGTGCTGCAGCACCGCCAGTTACCCTGCAGCATATGCAGCAGCACATACAGCTGCAGCAACAGCAACAGCAGCAGCAGCATTAACATATGCTGCACTACATGACCAACAATATAAGTAGCAGTATCTCTACATTTTAGGTTTTAGATTTTAGATTTTAGGGTTTAGGGTTTAGGGTTTAGGGTTTAGGGTTTAGGGTTTAGGGTTTAGGGTTTAGGGTTTAGGGTTTTAGGCTGCAGCCCCAACAACCTCTTCCTGAATATTTACAAAAACAATTAGAAAGATTACATCTACAAGATGACGAGGAAGAAGAAACACATACAGTAAATTGCCTCCTTTTTCTTTTTGTCTCCTTTTTTTGTCTCCCTTTTTCTCCTTTTTTTTCTCCTTTTTTTTCTCCTTTTTTTTCTCCTTTTTTTGTCTCCTTTTCTTTTGTCTCCTTCTTTGTCCCCTTTTTTTGTCTCCTTTTTTTGTCTCCTTTTTTTCTGTCCCCTTTTTTGTCTCCTTTTTGTCTCCTTTTTTGTCTCCTTTTTGTCTCCAATTGTTTCTTTCTTTATTTGTTTCTTCTTTTTATTTTTTTGTTTCTTTTTTGTCTCCTTCTTGTTGTTTCCTACTTTGTCTCCTCCTAAACCCTAAACCCTAAACCCTAAACCCTAATTTGTGTGTGTTGCCTTTCAGGCCCAACGAGGAAAGCAAATAGAGCCGGACCTAGTAAGATATACTGTCTCCTTTATTGTCTCCTTTTTGTCTCCTTTTTTGTCTCCTTTTTTCTCTCCTTTTTGTCTCCTTTTTGTCTCCCTTTTTTCTTTTGTCCCTTTCCTAACATGTGCTGCTGCTGCTGCTGCTGTTGCTGCTGCTGCTGCTGCTGCTGCTGTGCTCAGAGTGGCGATTGTTATTTCCCTCAAGATGGTTATGATTACTCACAGCATTTAGTTGTAAGTTTTTCTACCTGCTGCTGCTTGCTGCTGCTGCTGCTGCTGCAGCTGCTGCTGGCTGTCTTTGCTGCTGCTGCTGTGCTGTCTGTGTCTTAGCCGCAGCTGCTGTTGTTGTCTGTCTTTGCTGCTGCAGTTTTGTCTATTTGCTGCTGCTGTTCTATGTGTCTCTGCTGCTTCTTCTTGTATATTTGCTGCTCCATGTGCTGTATCTGCTGCTGCTGCTGCTGCTGCTGCTGCTGCTGCTGCTGCTGCTGCTGCTGCTGCTGCTGCTGCTGGTGTCTCCTTGTTGCTGCAGAGTTTAGGGGGTGGTGCCTTCTTATCTCATGATGGAGGGAAGGAGACAATTCTTAAGGAAGAAAAAGAAGCAGAAGAAAGCATGAAAAGAGACAAAGAAGGTAAACATAGCAGCAGCAGCAGCAGCAGCAACAGCAGCAGCAACAGCAGCAGCAGCAGCAGCAGCAGCAGGATATATATATCTCCTTTAATGTGTCTCCTTTTTGCTGCTGCAGCAAGCCAAGTTCTTGCTGCAATGGATGCATGCGAAGGTTATGAAGAAATTGCTGATGACTTTGTTGCTACAGCATTAACAGATGCTGATGGCAAACAATGGGTAAATACATTACTAGGGTTTAGGGTTTAGGGTTTACGAGGGTTTACGAGGGTTTACGAGAGTTTATGAGGGTTTATGAGGGTTTATGAGGGTTTACGAGGGTTTACGAGGGTTTACGAGGGTTTATGAGGGTTTGGGCTCTAGCCAGCTATCTAGCCACCGCATGTGTACCTATTTAGCTGTTTAGCTAGCTAGCTAGCTAGCTAGCTAGTTAGCTAGCTAGCTAGCTAACTAGCTAGCTAGGGTAACTAGTTGTATAAATAGGAATTAGGGTTTATAAATGTTATGAGGGTTTAGGCTCCTGATGAGAAAGAACTTCTTTGGGGTTTACGACCCCCTCTGTTACCCCAAGCAATTAGCGACTCCCTCTTTGCTGACGAGGAGGAGGAGGGGGAGGAGGAGGAAGAGGAGGAGGAAGAGGAAGAGGAAGAGGAAGAGGAGACACTATATAGTAGTGATGAGGAGGAGACACTTAGTGATGAGGAGCAGACACTTAATAAAGGAAAAAAACAAAATATAAATGTTGATGATAGTACACAAGCGTAAGAAATATTAGGGTTTAGGGTTTACGAGGGTTTACGAGGGTTTACGAGGGTTTACGAGGGTTTAGGAGGGGTTTACAATGGCTTGGAAGGGTTAGGAAGGGTTTAGGAGGGTTTAGGGTTTAGAGGGGTGTAGGAGGGTTAATTAGGGTTTAGGGTTTAGGGTTTAGGGTTTAGGGCTTTGTGTGTTCCTGCAGGAAACGGCTTGAGCAGCTATTGGAGGAATATACAGAAGAATGCATAGGAGAGGTTTGTTGCTTCTGCTGCTGCTGCTGCTGCTGCTGCTGCTGTTGCTGCTGCTGCCTATTGTTTAATTACTATACCCATAAATAATATTTTATTAGGGTTTAGGGTTTAATTAGGGTTTAGGGTTTAGGGTTTAGGGTTTACGTGTTGCTGCAGCTTGACCCTGACGAGCCAGAGGAGAGTGATTCCTTCTCTGCTTATGAGGAGTGTTTTGATGACTTCTTGAGGTCTCAAGAGCGTACGCCTCTAAACCCTAAACCCTAAACCCTAAACCCTAGCTAAACCCTAAACCCTAAACCCTAGCTAAACCCTAAACCCCAGCTAAACCCTAAACCCTAAACCCTTGTATTGTGGGGACTGCTGCAGGGGCACAAATCGTCGAGGGTGATAGAGAAGGTGTCTCCTATCGGCGGCGAAGAGGGAGCTGCAGCAGCGACAGCAGCAGCGGCAGCAGCACGAGCAGCAGCAGCAGCAGCAGCAGCAGCAGAAGATTGAGGAAGAAGGAGGTTGTATTAAATATTTGTGAGATTGGTAAGACCCAACTGACCAAACCCTAAACCCTAAACCCTAAACCCTAAAAAATTTAGATAAAGTGTCTCCTTACGATAGAGACTGTCTGCGCCTCCCTCGCCATTTTGGGGTTTAGGGTTTGTGCATACTACTTCTTAGGGTTTACTAGGGTTTAGGGTTTAGGGTTTAGGGTTTAGGGTTTATGTGTGTTATATATAGATGATAATTTAAGGGAGAAAACCCTCGCGTTAGCTAAACTACAAGAAGAAGAAGAAGAGGAAGAAAATAATAATTTTGTGCATGCAAGCCCTTCTCTTCCTGCACGTGCTCGTCCAACTTGGTTCGTCTAGGGTTTAGGGTTTAGGGTTTAGGGTTTAGGGTTTAGACCAAGGTTATTCCGTTCCGTGTTTCCGAGGGTTTAGGGTTTTATGCCGAGATCTTTCCCTGTATTGTTCTGATTTAAAAAATTTTTAGGGTTTAGGGTTTAGGGTTTAGGGTTTAGGGTTTAGGGTTTGTGTTTTTTTTTTCTTAGGGATGGCGAGACAATAATGAGTGCTAGATCTGGGGTGTCTGTACAGCCTAAATCAATAATCATTGGTTCTTCTCGTTGCAGCAAAGTGTCTCTTTCTCCTTTCTTAGCGTAAGAATTAACTGTCCTTTTTTCTCCTCCAGCTGCTGTTGCTGCTGCTGCTGTTGCTGCTGCTGCTGTTGCTGCTGCTGCTGTTGCTGCTGCTGCTGTTGCTGCTGCTGCTCTTGCTGCTGCTGCTGCAGTCGTAGGGGCGCTGCAGCCGTTGTCGTGCTGCTTCTGCTGCTGCTGCTGTAGCTATTATATGCATTGATTGCTGAGGCTCGTAGCATTTGTTGCTCTTGCTGCTACTGCTGCTGCTCCTGCTGCTGCTCCTGCTGCTGCTCCTGCTGCTGCTGCGTTGTTGCCGCAACCACGACTTGTCTGCTGCTGTTGCTGCTGCTGCTGCTGCTGCAGGAGGAGACAAAGAAGTCTCAGGCAGCACAAGCACGTATTAGTCCCTTCGATGTCCGCCCTGGTGTCCGCTACTTTAAGCTATAAAGTTGCTGCTGCTGCTGCTGCTGCTGCTGCAGCAGCAGCAGCAGCAACAG